TGGTCTGACCTCTGGTCTGACCTCTGGTCGTCACCTGGTCCAAGGCTTCTCTCTGAAAACCAAGGTTTTGGTTTGGAATCAAACACAAAAAAACCAGAGTCAGAATTCTCCCTCAGTCACAGAATATATCAATTACACACACACACACACACACACACACGTCTGATTGATTGCTGAGTTGCATAATCAATACTAAACTTACAGCAATGAAGAGCCGTAACCTGGAGCTGTGTGTGTGTGTGTGTGTGTGTGTGTGTGTCAGTGATGCTGTCATCCCCGTGTCCATTACTCTCCTCTCCCTCTCTCTCTCCCTCTCTCCCTCCCTCTCTCTCCACCTCCCGGGTTATTTCCAACAGTCCACTGCAGCACTGCAGGCCTCTCCAGGGAGTGACCGCGGCCCCTCCACCTCCCTCCACCTCCCCTCTCCTGTCTCTCCTCCCTCCTCCTCCCCCGTCCTTCGCACCCATCCTCTCACCCTGTCTGTGAATCAATACAGCAGCAGCAGCAGCAGCACCCAGAGAACCACACACACACACACACACACACACATTTCCATAATGGCAAATCACTCACCAGGAAGTCCTGTTACATGACTTATACGTGTATATGACACACACACACACACACACATGCCTGTCAGCTCCCCTCATCATTTCATTAACACTGATCTGAGGTCAGACAGGAGGCAGAGGAGAAGCCTGCGCTGCTGTTTGACTCAATAGGAGGAATTAGTCTGACCTCTTCTGGTGGTGAGAGGAAGTGCAGGTGGTGAACTTGGTGAAGGAACAGCAGAGAGAGAGAGAGAGTGTTTTCTATCATATTGGGGTCAGTGGACCCCAGTGAAATCTACTTCCTCCACTGAGAGGAAGTCACACACACACACACACGCACACACACACAGAGGGCTTGACAAAAGTATGCAGAGCCAGATAAGAGCCCTAGAATGACAAATAAGTGTTTATCAAACCCAAACCATGTTTAATCCCTCACCCCCCCCACTCCCCTCCCCCGCCCACTCATCCTCACCCCCTCTTCACTCTGCTCTGATGTTTTATTTGTCTCTCTCTTTTCTGCGTTCATTCTGTGCAGAGAGGGAGAGACAGAGAAGTTCATCTGAGAAGGAGGTTTTTAACACAGGGTCGGGAGGAAAATGGTGTGTTTTCTGTGTGAGAGAGAGAGAGGGAGAGAGAGAGAGAAAGGGGGAGACAAGAGGATACCTTTGTTTCATTCAAGCCACTAACTACACATGAATGGGGGCAGTTGGTGGTTCTGTTTATATATGGTATTGTAGACCAGTGTTTCCCAAACTTTTTTTCTGATATTTTAAATTTCACAAACCTTTGCAACCCAAGTCAATAGTCATTATTTGTAAAATTCAAAAAACGAGTCTCTTGTGACCCACCTGTGTGTTGCGACCCAGTCTTTGGGAAACAGTGTTGTCGGGTATCGTATTGTATTGCATCATATCATAGCGTATCATATGTTTTTATATCGTGTGGTATCCAATCGTATCGTAGCGTAGCTGATCTCCACTGTTAGCGGTTGGTTTGTGTTACAGTTTCTCATCTTTTATAACAATAATTAACAACTCACTATTTTGAGTCAAATCAGTGCAGAGTTCCTGTCACGGGTCGTCTTCGGTACTGATATTCAGTGACAGAAGGACTTTTTTTAATCGGTTCTGTCAGAGGGAGACCAGGAACAAGTTGGAGGAAAGAAATGAAAATCATGACCAATTATAGTCGGAACTAGCCTGCCTCGACTGGTGGAACAGTGACATTACAGTAAATTGAGGATCAGCAACATTTAAAGGCGCAGTACTCGCTCTGTTTGTCACTCTGAACTTTCTCCCACTCTGTGAATTATAATTTTCAAGACAGTGTTTTATTTATTTATTTAATTTTTTTTTTCGTGGCATCGTCTTTACGTATTGATGTGCGGAGCAGCCGCACCTTCACAGAGATGTGAGTCAAAGGAAAGTCTCTGTGAAATATTTATCTGAATATCAAAGACTCTGAGGGTTCTCCAGACCTGCAGGAACAAATACAGTCAGACAACACCTCAGTGTCTTACACTGTTTTTTAAGGCAACAAATCGTCATTGGACATTTTTTTTTTTTGTCTACACATTTTTCGTCGTAACGTAAAACTTTCCACATAAATGTGATTTCAGTGCAGATCGACCTTTTCGATCCATCGCTGCTTCCATCATTGATTTATTGGTTGACATTCAGTAAATGGAACAGACACACAAACATACGGCACCGGGGCCAAAACTGGCTCGCTCCGGTGTTCAATACGGCCGCCTGGATGGATTTTAAAAATACAACACAAACACTTCATGTCTTATAGGATATTTTTTGTAAAAGTATATTTCATTAAATAATAATAAATATCTAATATACTTATGTTATGACCGGTCCGGCCCACTTGACGTCTAATGAGGTTGTATGCGGCCCGTGAACCAACATGAGTTTGACGCCCCAGGTCTACAGCGTTGACGTTGACACCGTCTGTGATCGTCTGTTTGTGACCAGGGGTCCACGGTCCGTCGTCTCCTCAGATCTAAATCAAACTGAATATTCCTGCGTACAAATTCTTTTCTTCTCTCGTCTGCGTCTATATTTAAACCCCGACGGCCTGGCTGTCACTGCTGTGGGAGGCAGCACTGTTTCTCTTCCTGTCTGTGCTATTATTGGGTGGAGTAGGGGCACGTAGCCCATTATTTCTCTCATCATGTGTTCTCACTTTCTCCCCCTCCACCTCTCCCCCTCTCCCTGTCCTCCACCAGAACCACACACTGAGTCAGCACGCGCAGTGAGACCGAGGCCCGGCAGGATCTCTCGGCTCAGCCGGGGCCCCCGACCCGGAGCCGGCAGGGGACCCCCATCTCCGCATCACAGCCAATCAAAGTGTCATTTGCTACTCACATGTAAAACTCTAACGATTGCGCCACTGGGCGCGGCTATTAGAGGCAGCGGGCGAAAGGAATATTAATGGGATATGCTATTAAATAAAGAGAAAGTGGGAGAAACTGTAAGAGCCGAGATGAAGTTGGAGAAAAAAAAAAGGTATTGTACGTGCAGTATTTTTTATTGTCCCTGCCAAGCCTCACCCTCCCTCTCTCCCTCCCTCCCTCCCTCCCACCTGCCTCCTCCTCCCAGTCTTCTTTCCTTTTCTCTTACCCCCGTTTGTGCATTTTATTTTATTTTTTACAAATGGACGAAAAAGCAAATGAAAAACGCCCTCTTTTGAAATTTTCTTTTTTCTTTTTTTAAAACACTACCGCCTAGTAAAAAGCTTCACTTTATTTCCTCGGTTTCTTGTTGTATTCAACTTCATAGGTGTTTCTTTTCTTTGCTGCCCCCCCCCCCACCGCCATAGTACTATTTTCTGTTTTTTCTTTTTTTCTATTTTTTTTGTACCGTTCATTTGGCGCCGTCAGTAGGTACTCGTGCTGTGTTGTGACTGTTTGTTTGCCGGTTGTAATCCTCCTCAGTCCCCCCCTGCCTCCTCCCTCCCCGTCTCCCTCAAAATCTCCTTTTTATGATTATTGTTATAAATATATTTTTCCCTTTTTTGTAATTACTATGAAAAAAAACATACAAACAAAATAAAGTGCAGAAACCACACAGATGTTTCTTTTTTTTTCTTTTTTTTTGGATTGGGTTTTCCAGTCTCTTTGGGGCCTGAACTGCGGTTATTGTACAAATGAGTATCTTGGTTTCAGTGCATCTGGTCAACGACTGCTTTTTAAATGTGAATTAACCAGATTGCATTAATCTAGTACAGAGGGAAAAAAACACAAAAATAAAACAAATAAATAAATGAAAAATTAACAACTGGTGTGATGTGCAGTTATTCCAATCAAATATAATTGTGTGTTTAAATGAGAGGTGTCAAACATACGGCCTGAGGGCCAAAACCGGCCTTTAATCTGGCCCGCTTGATGAATTTTGGAAAAGAAAAATCTTGAAAATGTATATTTCAATAAATATGAATAAATATCTAATATACTTGTACTTTTTTGCATGAAAACAAACATGGACTTATTGTTAATTATAGTTAAGCCCACTTGACATCTAATTAGGTTGTATGTGGCTTAGGACCTTTGACCCCCTTGGTTTAAATGCACTGTGATGGTCCTGAGGTCAGTACTGTACATTTGGTCTAAAGATAGTGGACATCAAACTGACCAACTGGCGAACAGGTAGGAGCGTGTGAATATTTTAGTTAAGAAATGATCATATTTTTATGATATTTTATGATGAACCTTTAAATGTCTAAAAATAGATAAATGTTCAAACCGCAGACCGTACATATGTATATATATAAATATGTATATATACTGTATATATATAGCTAATGACATCATCACTAACCAGTAATCCCTTTAAGAAAGTAACCGTGTCAGTGATTATAAAATGATTTTATTTTTGTTTGTTTTTTATCTGTGTACTGTACCTTTAAATTCACCTGCCGGTCAGGTGACTGATGAACTTGACGCAGTAACGAGGTTGACAGCTGTGTTTGTCAGAAAATAATAATCTTTATTTAAAAAAAAACTCATAAAAACTCAAGTTACGATATTAACTGATAATAGGTTGTGTTTTCGATGGTTTTAAGTAAACTCTGAGCTGGACTGGCTCCGTGTGTCACCACGGTGTATTTCCGGGTGAGCGCTGCAGCTGCATCCCAGCTATAGCATCACTGTCTTCAGCCTCAGCCCGAACCATCAGCCGCTACACGAGAAGACCGGAACCCCAAAAACAACAACAACAACAACATCCGCTTTTTGTTACACATTTATAATTAATGCCTGGTAGCTGAGAGCCGGCTTTGAACGCAGGGAGAGACAGCGGGCAGGAGTCATGGCGGCGTCGCTTCTCTCCGAGACCGACATCAGGCACCGTTCCATGGCGGAGGAGGATCCGAACGGGAACGAGCATGGGGCGGCTGCTCGCAGCGCGGCACCTCGCTGGGGACCACAGCATGCCGGGGCTCGACAGCTGGCGAGGCTCTACTCTCCCGGTAAGAACATTGTTTGCGGCAGCTGACAGTGATGCTGCCGCTGGTGGTGGTGGTGCTGTCACCCGCTTCGGGTGGGGATGAGGGTGAGAAAAAGCAGAGGGGG